GCCACCTTGAGGGGGAGGAAAAAAGATTTCAGCCTTGCAGACTGATTATACCATCCCGGAGAAGCACCCATACCAGATGCACAAATAAAAATAAAGAACTTTAATAATTATTGAGAAACAGAAACCCCATTCTTATCCTAAACTCTGAAGTCCAGTAACAACTGGAACTAAAGCCAATGGTGCACGGACAGCAGCAGACACGGGAAGGACTCCATATTCTGGCCGTGGCAACAGGACGTAAGCAGGCCCATCGTACTCTTTCTTCTCTTAGATAGTGTATATGGTGGAGCTACCTATTTTTGTACAGAACAGGACAATTTGTGGGGAATCCCAGAAGACTACTGACCTTTCTCCATCCTGCTTAAACACAACCTCCCCAAACCCTTGAATTCCCTTCTGGATGCCCATCACCCAGCAAGATTGGCCTCACTGCAGACTGTCATCATATGGTCCTTCTCCCTCTCCCAGGCTCAGCAGGTTAGGTTCCCTGTGCTAGGCTTTATCTCAAAAATCATTCTATTTATAGACTCAGTAAGTTCATTTAACACTCATGCATTTGTAAATAAAGAGCTTTTCAGCTCACTGAGAATATTAAAAGGAAAATAAAGAGTTTTTAAAATTGCTCATAACTAACACTCCTCTGCTGCCTTTCATCCTTCGTTTCACAAGACCCCAGAGCACTTCACAGAGGTAAATACAGAGCTGCTCTCCCAGCAGAGAGACGCTGCCAGTCCTGGGGTGGAACATGGATGCTCTAGGACATGACCGCATCATTGCAAGCCCTCATGGTGCTGGGCTATCACTTTTGCTCTGCCACCCTGTGGCTGTTCAACTGCACAGCTCCAACAAGTAAAGTGCCTACTGCCCAGAAAGAGATGCCTCCTACGGGCCAAGAACTCCAAGAACTCCGCCAGTGGGGATGGCTCGTTTTTCCATAGTCAGGTACTTCCAACCAATTAACACAATTGGTAGGAAGTGAAGAAAAGAGCTATTTTCAACTGAGCCTCCCCAGGAAAAAAACCCAGAGAGGACACTGGGTTCTGGACACTGCACTTCCGGGTTTGGTCAACAGACCAGAGTTAGAGGCTCTGTCCCAGATCTTATGCACCTTAGTTTTAAATAGAAACTGTTCTTTGAAAGGCAGGTTGCAAGCCTGATTCAAAACCTTCATTATCACTGCCGGCGCATACCCCATTTTTAGGTGGGGAGATTCAGTTTTGATTCCAAGTCAAGGATGCCACCTACTGAATCCTTGCTACCACGATTGCATGCTTTGACCCTCACGGCTCAAGACCTCTGGCAAGATCACAAGCCAGACTGCAGTCCCAAAATAAATTCCGAGGAAAAGCAGAAAACAGGCTTGGAAAAACAAAGCTTTTCTCACTGCTCCTCTCCCCACAACCCCAAGATGTATTACTCACTGAACATCTGCAGAGCCATAATAATTTCTAGTTTTGCAACACTGACAACCTTAGCAGTATTAAAAAAAACCTCCTTACATCTTTATTCCATTTTGGATTCATTATAACACAGTCTGACAATATACGCTAGTACAGTACATTCTGCAACATTTAACCCCTGTTCCCAGTTGCCGTTCTTAACTTCACGGCTTAATGACACAGAGTCAGTAGATCACAATATGACCCTGTTAATATTTTTTTAATGCCATTTTTACAAATTACAGCATAATGCACTGATTACGAGGATGAAAGGAAAGTCTCTACGTCTGTCTGGAAACTAAATAAAAGACTGTTTGAACATCTGTTCATCCTACAAATGTCTTTAAAAGCTTTGATTTTCCCATAATCATTTTGTTCCACCATTTCACCCTTTTTCGAATGTGTATCCAACAGCCTCAGGACAGCAGCCAGAGATCTGCAGTAATAGCACATTATAATCAAAGTTCTTGGGCACGCTTAAGTTCTCCTTTAGGAATTAAGAAAAAAAGGGGGAAAAACACAAAACCAAACCCCAGTCTTCAACAGATACCTCTCCAGCGGTCTGTCCTACACAAACCTCTGCTAGGGGAGCAAAGCGAAAGGAGAGGGCTTTGTGACAGGGGTTTTACGTAGGGGATTACAAAGCACAAGGACAGGATACGGTGGTGGACAAAGGGACTCACGCGAGGCACAGCACACGTGCCGCCGCACAGCCTGCTCCTACTGGGTCGGCAGTGGCTGTCCATGAGACCTCTGCCCAAGTCACAGCCTAAGCGCCTGAACACAGCAGTCACTCACCACGCACTGGAGCTGGCGTAAGCTGCAGGGCAAGAGCCTTCTCCACCATGCTGGGCTCCCAACACCTGCCGTGGGAGCCCTGCCTGCACCTGGATTTACATCTCCTTCTCCAGAGGCACGAGCAGAGCCAGAACAAGGAGAAGCAACGAGCAAAGATGGGAAATAAGAGCACTGAGGAGGAGGTTAGGTCTTGGACTGAGAGGATGGAAGAAAGATCCTGAGTTAGTATGCTAGTTGGGAAATGAGATGGAAAACGGGTGGAAAGATTTTAAAAAGTATATTACAGGAGGCTGGATGAGAAAGGGATGGAGGTCCAACTTTGGAAGCTGTTGCTGCTCCCTCCTTTGGAGTAACCCAACCAAATAAACCATGGGACCCCGCAGCACTGGATGACCTTTCAGCCAAGCAGAGGGCTGCAAAACTAAGTATTCAGGACTAATGAGTTTTCAAATATATCAAGTTCCATAACAACTGACTCACTGGATCCCACTGTGAGCAAGTCCACAGTGTAGAGGACAAAACATTAATCAGATAGTGCTTTGTAAAAATACATCCCCCCCATTTACACCAACAGCCTCCTCTCCAGAACTATTAAAAAATGCCTTAGAAATGAGAAGGACAAGAACCTGTAAGTGCAAGGCTAACATTTCTGGAGCAGCCAACAATATCCTACAGCAGAACACCTCTCCTGATGACTGCCCTTTTCTTTCCAAAACACCAAGCAGAGTTGGCAGAATTTAATGACCCATTTAAAATTTGGCAAGGCCATTAGAACTATGCAGATAAAAATGTAACTTCCTTAATAATTCACTTTTGATTTTTTTTTGTTTTTTCAAACGGAAAGTTTTGGGTTTTTTCTATACCAATAATTCTTAGACTAACCTGGGATGGTAATAACAGCACTCCTATGTCATCTGTTTCTCTAACTTCCATCACTGCAGTATCTTAAGCGGAGGTAACAGTGCAGGGTACAAAACAGGATTTGATAAAGGCTTAAAAGAAAGATAACATAAATATTCTTTCCAAAGACTGCCTTTAGGGGTGTCTGGGAAGAGGAGAGGTGACATGGGTGTGAAATGCATTTTTTTCATTATAGAAGGATACATTTTCCAGCAAGGCTGGCAGCACAAGTCACGTTAAGCCATAGCTGAAGTTGCCTGCCTAATTCCTCTGGGATCACACTGAAAGCATACCCCATAATCTTAAGGGATGTGCTAAAGCTTTGCTGGGACTCACTCAGCAGAAACTGTTTGGGATTATTCCACAAAGCACTAATTCTGTTCTGATTTAAAGGGGCACCATCAACCTAGTTTAGACACCACAACTGCTCCGTCTCATGACTGTCCAGCTATAAATATGCTCTCAATAGCTGATATTTTTGCCATTTGTATCCACTTTGGTTACCTGGAAATTAAAAGGAAAAGAAAGAGACAGAAAAAAACAGAATCACATTAGCATGATGGGCTCACGCCCATCAAACGGATATTCGATTAATAACACGTTGAGTGTTATTAATAATATAATAATATGATTAATAAGAATGAGTGTAGCAATCTATTACAGTTCTCTACTTCCACGTGCAACTAATGCACTTACGTTATACACACGGTCATCTTCTCTGGCTTCAGCGAATGGGTCATAGGCTGCTATCTAACATCAACAAGCAGAAGTACTCTTTTTGTTCAAAAGGCAGGAACTAACATTTTCCATGCTGCCAAGCCTGAGTCCAATCTCTGTTCCAGACTGCCACTTTCGTACCTGTGGAATTATTGGTAGTTTTCATGTTAAGGTGTCCTATGCTTTGTAAATAACAAAGAAGGGACATTACCAGTGCTCTTTTTATGGGCCCAGGACATGAAATTGAGAGGAAGAACTAAAGCAGCCATGAAATCCCTATTAAACAACTAAGAGTTTCTAAAGCATCTTGGAGATACTCATTTTACAAGGCTTATGCTGCAATCTTCTATCATTATTTTAATGAAATAAAGCCCTTGACTATTCCCAGAGGCAACAACTTCTTTCACACACAAAAGACATTTTGGTTACAAAAAAGGAAAATAATTCTGGAGTAGGATTCACTGCAGAACAGGCAGGAAATTCAGAAAAGCTATATAAAACGTCACTGAAGATAGGTTCTGAACCTTTGGAACAGCCAACAGAACAATTAAGACTCTCAGTTACAGGCATCATTGTTTAATACGAAAAACATTTATATCTAGAAATCTTTTTTTATAAAAAAGATCCATACCATCTCTCAGATAGCATCTTACATAGTTGCAGCTGAAGGAATGTGAACCATCCATGTTAGGTTTCACCTACCATACCCATGTGCTTTCTGTCCCCCGCTTGGCTCAGGGAAGTAAACCTAGCCTAATCAGCCTCGCTTTGTGGGTTGCATGAAATTCACATCTTGACTGGATTTAGATTAATATTGGTGTCAAACTTTTAAATCAAGAGAAACTTCAAAACAATTATCCAGAAAAACACTGCTATTAGAACACACCCCCAAATGTGCTCATCTGGCAGGTGACATTCTCTGAGAGGCCATAAAGATTCACATTGCAAAGATGACAAAATAAGCAGATTCTAACAGAACAAAACCAAATTGTGGAGATTTTGGAAGGGGGCACGTAGTCAGCAGGAGCCTCCAGGCTCTATTTGTGAGGAAGGAACAGGTCTAACACATTCAGACAAGAAATAGAGTCCACCTGAATTCATTTTAGAGTCTGGTCTTTCAGGTGAAATCAGAGGCCTCTCACTTTCTCAGGATTGGATCATTTTCTTCTGCGTGTCAAAGACGTATCTTTTAAAGAGAAGAGAGATGGTGACAGGTTGGGCTGAATCATTCTTGCTGCTTTCATCCTCTTTGGTTGCATCCCCTTTCCCTGCCTTAGATTTCTTCTTGGAGGCGACGGTAAGAAGCATCTTGGTATCCGGCTTCAGCCCATCTGTAAAGAACAAGAACACAGATGACAAACGCACCCAATGTCACATTTCAGTATAACTTGAAAAAAATGAACAGGCAAGTTTACTTTTGAAATCAACCAAGGAAAATAAAAAACTAAATCAGATGCATTAGGAAAGTCACATTTTCGCATCATGCTTCTGAAGTATGGTAACCCACATGAAAAATAAGCCTCCAAACATAGTTCACAAAAGTGATAACCCCAAATCCAGTGCAGTATCCTGGCTGTATCCTTCCACAGCTTTAAAAAAATTAAATTAGGCAAAAATTTAAACAAGCCAGACCAACTTGCCTGGTCTAAGCCCTTTATTCAGCAGACCTTTCCTATTATTTACACGCACCTCCCAAAGTTTCTTGTCATCACTAAAATTATGAGTCATGAACAAAAAACAACAACTGGTAAAATAATAAAATTATAGACAGTCCTAAGAAGCAGAAGGTTCTTGAATGTCTTTTGTCTATTTCCCAGACCTCCCAGAAGCACACTACTTAAGTTTTAACAAATTATACAGTTTTGTGTTTGTTTGGTTTTTTTTGTTTGGTTGAGTTTTTTAGCTAAAACACAGTATTCGCTAAGGATTTCAACTGTCAATTTTAGGGGAACTAGAATTAACCTGTATAGGATTCTGGGGATCTAATTTAAGTCTTTCTCCAGACATTTGTGCCAAACAAAAATATTTGTCCTTTTCTTCCTAAATGGCTAGGGTTTATTACACTTTTATATTTTCTTTTAACTCGACACATTGGTGACATTTTAGATAAGAAACGCAAGATAGCGAAGTCCAAAGAAACGCTGTAAAACAAGAGAGATGCAAGCTCCTAAAAGACCACTCCTGAAGAATTGCTTTCTTAAAGCAGAAGACAGCAAACTCCTTGGAAGGTTATTCAGCGCCACCCGAACACGCTGCAATGTGGTTCTCAGGCATTTGGCCAAATTCAGTTCAGGTATTTTTAACCTGTGGTGTCACATAACCTTATCTCAAACACTTAATCAGCTTCTCCCCCCTCATATTGAAATTCAGCTGCGGATTCTCATATCGCAGCCTGACAAAAAGATTGAGATGCTTATGATTTACTGGAGACAGGAGGTCTACAAGCACAGGTGATTTGCTCCGGCACAGACACGTCTCGAGGCACCAACAGCTGATTACGGGGGGAACACGGCACCAGAGTCCACCTTCCCCTCCCGCTGTGTCAGCTAGCGAGTCGTCGCGGGCGGCATCCCCACCACGCGGCAGAGGGACGGGATGATGTGTTGAAGCCAAACCAGGAAACTGCCCATTTGCCATTTCATAACCAGGGGTTATGAAGCAGCCCAAACGCCCCGCGGCACACCACAGAGGGGCTTTTGGAGATAGAGGCGTCTTGCGTTTTTAAAAAGAAAGAAAAAATTAAAAAATGCAAGAGCATGAAAGAGGAGAAAAGCAACACATTTGGTATATAGTTAAATTACAGTCCACACTACGGCTGCAGAAGTCCAGCATCAAGCAGAATTAACTTCATATAGTTCTGCAAGATCTTGTATTTCACAGTCACAGCAGCAGCCGTTCCCTCTTTTCAGGTGGCAGAATATGAAAAAAGCAATGATTATTTCATTGTGAAAATAATTGAGACTGTTTTTCCTTGATGGTTGAGAAGTCTGATAATGACTATCTCTGCACGTGTAAGGTTCAATTAATCAAACTAGATAATATGGTGTGGCCAGACCACATATTTATTATATGGTTTTATTACATTGTATAGTCATGTTTGATGCAGCTGTTTCGATTTTTTAATTGGATGCTTTCATATAAATCCCATTAATATCATTAGCCTTACAATCACTCCATCTTCATCACAAAAAAAATAATTTATTGTTGCATGAAAAGCAACTTATTTCCTATTCGGAAAGCGCCAAGAACATCTTGGGTGCTGCTCCGGAAAAAAAATAGCAGTCAAAGAGGAAAATAAAATAAAACCAGCAAAAAGAGTGACCTCATGCAGTCCCGCTCTCTACCTTTGCAGGATTTATTTCATATTATATCTTTTCTTCTGTTTTGACCAAACTAATCATAAGTGTCCCTGAACAGGGTTTCCTCCACTTTCCTGGGAAGACCATTTATTTTTTTGGACAAAGAAACATTTCATTTTGCTTTCTCGTTGGTTTCCCTTTCTGTGTCTTATCACTATTACTAATGTTGCTGTTACTGGCACATTACTGTTTAAGAAAGATGTTTAACTAAATCCTCTCAGAAAGACACACTTTAAATTAATTAAAGCAAACAAATCCTAAAACACACTTCTATTTATGTTAGTAGGCTTCGCGAGACTAATTTCCAAAAAATGCTAATTGGCGGAAAGGAGAGAGGAAGGGAGGAGGTGTGGCATTAAAATTGCAGCCAAAATTTTCCCCTGTGGGTGTATCTGAAGCGAGGTACCCGGGCTGCTCCCGCGGGACAGTGACGCCCCCGGGGACAGGGGACAGCCACTCACCCCGGAGCCATGAGGATGGAAGAACCAACTTGGGATAAACCGAGCTTCAAAAACCAGCAGCAATAGCAGTGAGCGCTCGGACTGCCCGACACATCTGAAACCTGGTACATCATCTTAGGTGTTTAAACAAAAAAAAATAAAATATATATAATCTCATGTTTGAAAAGTTTCATTTTCAAGAAAAAATGGATACGTTGCACACGGAACTGTGCTCAGTTTTAAATACATTTTCCCTGGTAATCTCACCTCCTCTACCCTATCGCTAACTTCCACATACGAAGAAGTAAAGATATACCTCACCTGCAGCCCTTAACACCTATTTGGATTCAAATACAGTTATTACGGGCAAGAAGTTTAGAGAAGAAATGGAAGAACGTGGTAGTTCCTACCAGCGAAACGACGGGCTGACAGCCAAAGGCAGCTCAGGTATTATTAAATTCACAAGGTATCTAAATTACCTAATCAGATCCCACAGCCCTCATTCTGCAAACAGATTAGGTGGCTGGCATCGTACCCTAACAAATGGCATTTTCTGTTTTTCTGCGCTGGTGCCAGGAGGTCTAAGGGCCGCAGAGGCTCTGTGTCGGGGAGCAGCACAAAGGAGCGGGCGGGGGGAGACGGTCGGGGGGGGCACAATCGGGGTTTCATCTCCCTCCGCGGATTTCTCGCGTTACACACAATGCATACTTTACATTTTACAAAACCAAGGAAATGAAGGGAAATATATCTGTCACCGAAGAAGACATCAGACCTTTAATAGCTGAAATGACGGATATTTTTAGATGGAGGTCTAGTTTAACTTGCTTACATTAAGGGTCTAATCTCTCCTGAACAATAGCTATGTTAGCTTGAATACATAGTGAGAAATCTGTTCCATTAATTAAGTGCTGCCTGTACTACTCGGATTTGTAGCAAATGTTAATAGATTTTTTTTTTCTTCCTCTGTTGGACAATTACTTTATTTTGCCAGGTTGCTAATGGATTAAATTGAAAAGGTCCATGTGTTAAAAAAAGACTTTAGCTTCAAAGTTCTAAGAAATGCCTTGCATACAACAGTGGGAATACCTATATATTAATATTATTAATGGGCAGTCCTCAGAGGCACATAAGATATCTGAAAGCTTAGCAAATTCATTCCCACCCATCATAACCATGTCTGTAACAAGAAGTGCCCAGACAGGTCTTATGTAAAATGTACTTCTAGCATCAACTAACCCAGGTTAGATACAAAAATCCAGCTGTAAAATAGTTTAATCTGCTTCGTTCTTTTAGTTTCAACTACTGTTAATTATTAACAAATAAGAATACAGACTATTAACATAATATCTTCTGTCACAGTATGGTCTTGGATTTAATGCAAACTGAGCCACTTGCAAATGCAAAAAAAAAGTGAATTTTCAAATTCAAATGAGAAGCGATACCTCACCAGGAAAAATTTTTTCCAAGTCTAAGAATAGTTTGGCATACACAAAATAAAGCCTAAATGCAATATTTTATATAATTTTCACAAATAAAAGCTAGCTGCTTGGTAATTTGCAGTACCTTACGTAGTAAAAGGCATTGCAGCCTGGAGTTTTACAATTACTCACGCAACAAATTTGCACAGAAACATGCAGATTTCAACAGCTTCATATGGAAATTTCACACTGTAGAAATTCTGGACCCCTTCTTGTGTATGAATACAGGAAATAAATTTTGCTCCCCACCTCCCGCAACGAAGACACTCATATCTACACAAGTTTTAAGGTTTCCCTAATGCTTCATTTTCTCCTGACGTTAAGTTAACCAGCCCTCCCTGCAGCAGGGACCCGGCAAAGCCCCCTGATAACAGCCCTGGCTGACCCCGGCGCGGGGACAGTCTCCACAGCACCCCGCTGGCGAGTGCCGGCCAGCAGACAAATCCCAGCAAACGCGTAAAGCATATAAACGTCCATAACTTGTGCTTTGTTTTTGCTACGACTACTACTTCAGTTGTAAGGAGGACGAAAGCTGATACAATATCTACCCCTCTAATTCCTTTTGCTAACCCAACAGCAGGACGAAGGCACACTGCTGTGCTTTTTCCCCACATATATTTTTATTTCAAGTGTTACCCGTAAGCTTGGATCCTACTTTACCCTTTTACATAACTTCCCTACTTCACATCCTCCTTCACTTAATATTGTCATTCCTTATCAACATCCTTCGTTATCTTATTTTTTTTTTCTTGTTAGTCTTCTGCTCCTTGAAAAGGTCTCCAAGTGTGGTCTCTGCTCTTTCTCCTAAAGTCCAACTCCTTCCTCAACACCCAAAGTCCACTTGCTATTCTGCTCTTCAGGAGTTTTATACCTCTCTTTTTCTAACTTTATTTTTCAGATTTCCCATCTCTAAATTTCTATTTCCTATTTCCACAGCTCTCCTCAATATTTAGGAATAGTCCTGTCTCCTTCGAAGCTAAGAAAACATTGTGTTTGAATGGAAGATTTTAAAGACCGAATGCCATAGTAGATGAGAAGCAAGATAATGCAGTAT